AAAAGTCGTGATATTGGCCTCGTACAGAATGAGTACCGTAACTCTACCGTATGACACCCAAAATCGAAACGATTCTGTCTCATAATGAGCACCTTTAGTAACTCTCGGACCAAATTTCGGGACACTTTACAAAATTCGTTTGAAATGCATTTTTGGGCCAGATGACTCAGTAGAGGACTACTCGCCGAAAGTGTTGGTTGCGCGGACATCTGCTACATTTACACACCTCATTAATGCAATAGGTGCGTTTTTGTTTGCAGATGTCCGGGCGGGACCTCTCCAACATATATAGCTCCTCCATGATGAAGGCGGTAGGTTAAACGTGCGACGCGGCCGCGACTCGAGTGTTCGAGCATCTTTCATCACTGGAGCTCGCAAGCACGCGCACGCTTCGCGTACATGGATGAGCGCCTTCGTCTTGAAGTAGCTTTCACCGCTCTAGAAACCTCACCAATGGGTCGTGAACCCGTGCAGAATATGAGTCCAAAGTGGCAGAAATCCAAAAGGCCTGGTCGTGAATGTGCTAAAGATAGTCCTTTTGCCAAAAAATCAACTCTGATTTTATAGGACCAAGGTAAATTTGAACTTACGTACGAGCCAGCTGTTATGCGTCTGTATCGTGATGGACGAACGGAAACTGTAAGAAGTTGCAGTACCGAATCATGCGATTTCGTTCGATCAATGTTGGATAAAAATGAAAACGTAAGGATTGAGCTGGTTCAAAAATCATTCGGATTCCAATGCCCTGATTTTCAGGATCAGAATAGAATGAAATTACTGCGGCGAGCCTGCGATCGCCATCAGGCTTACTATCGAAATGCGATGGCTGGACATGGTGTTGATAGACATCTGTTTGCTATGTATGTGGTGTCCAAATACTATAGCATATCATCGCCATTTTTGGAGAATGTGTTCAGCATGAACTACGCACTATCAACAAGTCAGGTGAGTCAATAGTGCTGTCAAGCAGCGTTTATAGTTGCCCTGGGTGCCGACGCTGTGCCAGCGGGGTTCCAGCACCGTGCCGAAAGCCGCGCGACAATTCTGGATGGACCCCTTAATGTGCCAATTTTCAACCTTTTGATATTAAGACTCCACAACATCAAATGAGCGAGTACTCAAAGAAGCTTAACAATGAACGGGAATTGTTCTGGCCAGCTGGCGCTTTTGCCTGTCCGGAAGGATCCAATTATGGTAGGATCAAGCCTTGAATAAATTTCTAAATCAATCAATAATCTCCTTAAGGTATTTGCTATACTGTTGGTACCACAGGTGATTTGCTAAGCTTCCATGTGACTTCTTGGAAATCGCTGAAGCATACTGTATGTCAATTTCTATAATTGACTACTGCTCTGAGACTTGATATCAAGTATTTTTTTGCAGGATGCTCGTCGTTTTCGCAACACCCTTGTCGAATGCCTTCGAGAAATGAAGCAAATGATTGAGAATGCATTGAAGTAGTTTTGATTCTCTATCGTTTCTGTAAATTGTAATTATATATGGATTGAAAGACCTCAGTCGAAGTCAATTTCGAGATGGTGGAACTCTCAATACGCTCCCTCAAGTTGACTCCTTTCCACTTGTAAAGTTGTACGAGTATACAATTCTTCGAATGAGCGTAGCTCTTCTGTACCTCGTATGTGCTTGTCGGTTTGTACAGCAATTTTTATAATTTAAAATGTATGTTTATTATTGGTGTCTTTGAAACTTGTTCTTTCGTACTTCTTTGCAGAATTAAGCGGCACCTGGAATTAAAAGTTTTGTTAAACCTTTGTTTTGAGATTAATATGCAGTGAAGTATGTGCAACATTTAGATAAGATGGTGATCAGCGTTTACAGGAGAGTGACAAAAGATATTGCAAATCGTACTGACAAATGATATTTTCAGTACAAGGGGTTGGAGAAAATTGTCATATTATTGTGTCGAATACTGCTGTGCCAAACAGGATGATAGGTGGTCCTTTATTCGTCAGTCGGGCTTGAGTTTCGACGCTTTCGTCTTCATCAGAGTCCTGGAATGAACCATCCTCATCCGGCACGAACATCTAACGAAGCGGTGGTTCCCTGGTATGTCTTTTGTC